TCTCACACTTATCCACTCAGGAACGCGGCGCAAGATCTTTATCTACCTACCCCACGCTCAGAGTTAGTTAAAAGTTCAATATTATACAAGTCGAAAAAAATGCACAACCACCTGCAATTTGAAATCAAATCCATAACATAATTTTCTTCATTTCGCAAAGCATTGAAAACTTATTTACTAGACAAGTCATCGTCTTGTATAAAAAAATAACTATTTCCTCTTGTAAAGACAATGCGGGGACATACTGTAGTACTGAAGAGTAAAACTGACACACAAAAATATGAAATAAAATTTATTATCCATATAACACACTTTAAAGTAGTTTTATTGACCAATTTACCTCTTTTTCTATATATTTTCGTGCAAATCCAATTAAGCATATTAGAAACCGGTCCCCAAGTCTAATTACCCCCATCCCTTACCCCTCGTACCCCTCAAACCTCGTCTAATTAAGGTTAAGTACCCCTCCGCATCCCCGACATCCTCGGGGCTTAGAAAAAAATCCATAATATCCATTTTAATTAAATTAATCGCCCGGATTACCGATATTTAATAAGCGACAAGCTATTAAAACTGCGATAATTATTTTTATACGGTACGGTTTTGACGGTTTGTTTATTTATTTGATTTATTTTTGGGTTTGTGGCCGATTAAAGTGGTTTCTTTTTGAGGATTGATTTGGTGAAGATGTTTGGTCTGTAAAAGTTAGAAAAAACGATAATTTGAAAAATGTATTTAATTTATTAGATGGATTTTAGTTGGTATAACCTAATATGTAGTTAAATTAACTATTGTACTTTAAATCAAATTAAAACCTGATCCAAAAAGTTATACAGGGTGGGACAAAAATTAATATTGAACATTCGTCACTTTCAAAAGTATGTTATTATTAGTAGTGGGAACTATCGAATGAATACTATCGAAACATTCGATAGTTGCAATTCATTCGAATAATTCGATAGTTAGTAAGAAAACATTCGTTGAAAACTATTCGAATAAAAATTATCGAATAGATCCGTCATCTGCCTTGAAATATTGTATTCTAGTAATTCGGCAGCAAAAACCATTCATTTATAAAATTCATTCATTTATGAAATTCATTCATTCGTCAGGATCGATTATAATAAAATATTAACTGAATTTTAGTTGTCGCCCGGCGACGTAGGTTTCTTTCCGAGACAGCGGTCGGCGGCAATGCTATGAAAGAAGCCGGCATCTTTGATTTTTTGCGGAGTCAGATATAGATAAGGACACATTATTTTTTTATTGAGGTGCTAGTATTTACACAGAAAATACATTATGAAAGGCGCTGTTGCCATATTTTGGTATTAGTTGATATTAGCAAAGAATATTATTGTTTGGCTTTAGTTAATTAGGGAATATATAGAGATACTATATATTCTGCATTTTTTTATTAATATTCTGTTGTTACACTGCAATAATACTTGTTATTTTGGATGTAGTAAAATTATTTTTAATGTTTTTTAGCAAAGACTGGTTTAATAAATAATAATAACAGTAATAATTTATTATACCTATTAACAACAAAATTTAAAATCATTTAATATAAATATTTTCTTTTAAGTAGTAGCAAAATATAAACAACAAATTAGAGGTTAAAATTATTTATATTAGATCCTATTTAAAAATAATATAGTCTCTAAATTTTTTGGCAACGTTGGTTTATTAAATAATAATAATTACAGAACTAATTTGTTATATTAACAACACATTTTAAAATCATGAAATATAAACATTTATTAATTTTCTAAGCATGCAGGGTAATGGAAGGAAAATATAAATAAAAAATTAGAAATCAAAATTATTTATATTAGGTGCTTTATATTACTATTTAAAAATTATATTTACTTTTACTGGCATTTACTTTAAAAAATAAATGAAATATTTTTTCTTCGCAAAAAACTACATGTAAAAGAATTAGCATAAACAAAATATAAACATCGTTAACTTTTTTTTTAAATTGGCACGTGTAAAACTTTCATTTTAATTTTCTCACCCCATAGTTTGAGTTCGATAACCATTTACTTAAATATGATTATACAACCACATTACTTAAATATGATTATTAAGTTCAACTAATTCATATTATTAAAACATCTAAAATAAAAATATGTATTTTTAAAATTAATTGTAAGTTCATCTAATCTCTCTTAAAAATTGCTACTTCTCAAAATTTCCCATTAAAAAATAGACCATATACCATATAAAATTAAATAATTGAAAGATCGGACTACGGAAAACCACACAAATTTTCGGAAAAATTTTGACCACCTGCACATGCACACAATCGTCAATAAATAAAATTAAAAAATAACTACTATTTTAGTATTTTAACTATTTATACGGCGAAGTTATAAAAATTTGGAAGAACTAATAATGCACCGACGCATACAAAAATCAAACGAATACTAAATTTCATTTATCAAAAGCATTCGATAGTCGTGGCTCAACGATAACCATTTAGTCGCACGGCGAGGTTGTCACATATGCTTTAGTATACAAATGAATGAATGATTTTATTCGAATAAAACCATTCGATAGTTGAAATCATTCATTCATTAACCATTCGATAGTCTAATTCATTCGATAGTTCCCATCGCTAGTTATTATTTTATTTTAAAGGGAACACCCAGTATATTATTCCGATATTCAATGGAGAATTCATGTCTCTTCAAAATACTATAAGGTTGCCTACCCCTCAAACAAAAATTTTACTAGATATTTTCTTTATTATTTGATAAAATCTAGGTGGCTGTGATATGTCTGACGTTACTTCAACATAGCTGGTTAACATTTTGTGTCAGTTAAAACAAAAAAAATTCTCAGAAATTTGCCGAAAATGCAAACTTATCCTACATCAGAGAGAATTGATATGATTTTATTAGTTGGTGAATGCATTGTGCAATGCCTTTTAAAATAAAAAAATCCTTCTGAAAAGACAATCATTTTATGCAATTAACAGGAAAGGAAGCATTTTGAGCATTTCATTTCATCTAGCTAATTTTTGTCACATAAATTTACAAGAAAGAAAATCCAGAAAAGATCTAGTAGTTCCCAAATTTAAGCAAAAATATTTTTTTTCGAAATTTTCAAATTAAAGTAACTCGGTTATTTTGGACTTATTTGAAAAACGGTAAAGAGAAAATATGTTTTTTAGATCGAGATCTACCAGACCTGAAAATATTTTCAATTATTTAAGACAGCCTGTATATCAATTTAAGGCATGCTAAAACAATAATGATTTTTTTTTGGTCACAGCTGACAGCAGTTATCACTGAATTTGTTTATTTTTTAGTAGAAATTTAAGATATACCTTATCGGTTCAAGGGGTATAAGTATCTCTTCCCGTCGCTAGAAGAAAGCAAAATACTAATTTATACACTCGTTTTATTTAATTTTTCTTTTTAGATTTTTTTTTAGTTTATTTTTTATTTATTTTTATTATTTTTTTTAATTTTTTTATTTTGATTTTTTATTATTTTATTCTTTTAACAGATCGTCAAAGGTTTATAATAGATGTAAAAAGGTATCTACTACAAAACCTAAAGTGTTCTTGAATACATAGTTGTATTTAGATATCATAAATAGTTTTTTTTCTCTATTCTTTATGCTTTTTTGCTTCAGACAACTGGAAAAGACATACCTTCTGTGACGTTGAGCATTTTTTGTCGGTTAGGCCAATTTGTTTTACCTATTCGGTAGTCGTAAAATACTACTGACCAATAATTGTTTTTTTTTCAGATTTTCTTCTATAGTGGCGAAATAAAAACAGAAACATTTTTAAAAAATCAAACCAAGCCACCGAGGTACAGCCATAATTTAGAAGAATTTAGGTTTGTGTTAGTGTTCAAAAGGAAAAAAAAACTATCAATGTAATTAATACCAAGAATAAAGATAAATTAGATAAAAAAAACTCCACAAAAATCAAAAATATTTATTGTATATAAAATTCTACTGAATTATTTATAGTTTTCACAAACACCCAGTAGCCTCTGTAGGTACTTATTATAACATAAGCTGTATAACCAAAACAGAACTTCAGAGAGACATTTCTAGATTTACTTTTATATATTTTTTAAAGAGAATAAAAGAAATAAATCTCATATAAATCCGATATCCTTACTTTGATTTTTAACTTTACTACAATAAAAAATGAAATATATCTCATATACACACTAATTATGCAAAATTGAAACCATCGTCATTTTAAAAATCAGAATATTGATAGGTACATAGCTACTAATCAGTAATTCTGTTAGTAACAGTAGAATTTCGAATTAATTAATAAATTAATTTAATTTTTATTTTTTACAGAGTTTTAGTTTATTTATTTCTTATTTTTATTATTATTTATTTTTTGGTTTTATTTTTTTATTTTGTTATTGTAACAGAACGCCAGCGGTTTATAATAGATGTATCTGCCAAAAAAACTGTGGCGAATAGTAAAACTATAAGATCACAAAACATTCCGTCCACCCGTCCAAACGCTACAACTTATCTTACGTCGCTTAACTTCAACAATTAAAGGGTGTTTATATAAAAAACTAGGTCGTTGTTCTTCTTATTATAAGTTAGAGAGCAGAATTAGGTCTAAAATCCACCACAAATTAAAATAATATCTACTAAATATATCGAAAAATAAAAACAAAAATTTTTGAAGACACCAAAAAAACGATTTATTTTATCACCCTTATAATAAAAAAAGAGACGCTCCAAAAAAACCGCACCCCTGCAGAGCACCAGCTTCGTCGCCAACCCTAAACCGTCTCTTAAGGTCGGAACGCACTAGGCGGTCGCGGTTCTTCTGCACAGCGCCGCGACGTCATGCCTAACCTCGCCCAGGCAGTCTGTCCCGCCTTCTCACCAGTCCCCGACCAATGGAAACGCGCGTAGGAGGCGCCAAACAGCGACCTCTACCGACCGCCGCGCCACAAGCTAACCATTATATGATTATTCTTCATTATAGTACCTACGCTCGCTGGAGGTAGATGGTTGAGAACAACCGGGTAATTTCCAACCGTTTACGCGTGAAAAAACGACGACCGGGCATCATTACACCCCCCGCCGGTGAAGCAGTACCCTAATTTCTATCGGAAAGAGACGGAGATAGTGCTCACTGGATTTTGTAGCAATTATCCCGTCCGGCCGCGACGTTTTCGATCGTAGCGCCTCTACGTCGATTCGGACAACTACCCGGAGAGTGCTCACTGGATTTTATAGCAATTTTTCGGTTGAATCACAGTGCCGAATTTGTACCTGCATCGTTTCTTGCGAGGATGTGTTAGTGAGGTGTTTCCAGATATAACGCTTCGTCCCGATCCCGGCGCCAAGGTGGACCACAAACCGTTCACCACGCTCAACTTCACGGACTTGGGGTCCCCCTTCGGGGGACCCGGGGAAGAACCACCTGGAACACCTACAATGGCCAATGAAGCCCATCTAGGACCTCCAACGCCTCACGACGGAGGTGCCTCGACTCCTGTCTCAAAAAGCGCGTTTATTGAGTTACAACAACACGGTTACGGGCCTCTAAGAACGACGTACCAACATCACTTTAACACGCCGACCGGTCAGGGACATGGGGGAGGTCCAGGTGGGCACGATACGGGATTCCCGAGTCCCAGGGGAGCTCTGGGAGCTTATCCGTTTCCGCCGATGCACCAGAACTCATACGCGGGGTACCACTTGGGGTCGTACGCTTCGAACTGTCCGCCATCGCCAAAAGATGATGGTGAGTTTGAGTCAAGGCGGTGTTGGTGTGGAAATCATGTAATTTTGTATGTTTTTTGATGTGTGGTAAAGTGATTTTGAGGATAGTGTTAAAGCCTGGAAGTGATCATGTAAAAGCATCAGAAAACTTAAGTATCATTAGACTTATTTATTAACTAACATCATATTTTAAAGCTCTATCTAACTTTCTCTTGTTGATCTTTGAAACTGCTGCTGTAAGTAAATGATACAATTTCGAATCATTTTTCTCTTCTTCTTCTTCTTTTTCTTATTTGAGATCTTTCGATCTGTTAATTTTAAGGTTGCTTCTGTTAGGAGTTCTTGGGACATGGACTGCCAACTGTCTTTCCATCATTTTGGAGGTTTTCCCGGCTGTCTCTTACCCATGGGTTTTCCTTCAAGGAGTTTCCCTGTTTTCTTCCATGCGTTTTATGTGTGCGAACCGTTGTTGTCTGATATTTGTGTTTGTAATTCTGTCTCTTCTAGTCTTCCCCATTATGGTTCTTAAGTTCTTCATTTCAGCGACTCTTAACATGCTTTTGGTCTTGTTTATTTCCTCTCGGATTTCTATGCCATATGTCATTATTGGTCTGATGTAGGTGTTATAAATTTTAATTTTGCTGTCTGTTCGCATGAAGGGGTTTGTCCACACTCAGACATCCTGACATGGCCGTTGCTCTGTTTATCTGGCTTCTCAGATCTTTCTCTGGATCATGATGAATCTATTCCTAGGTATTTGAATTGTGATACCTGCTCAATAATTTTGTTTTCTACTACCAGTTTGCATCTTACCGGATCTTTATTAGGAGGATTTAGTTTTTTTCTGTGGAGATAATCTATGAAGCTGTCTCTGCATATCGTCCTCTCTCTCCGCGATAATGGCTGCATCATCATATACATTTAATCTTGTTTTCATAGTTGACATAACTTACTTCTTAGATCTGCATGTACATGATTCTATTTCTTTTTGTCTCAACATCTTTTATATGTTTCCACGTCTATTGCTATTTAAGAAAGTTAATTCTATAGACCATGTCCATGTTCCACTGCGATGTTTTCAGGTCTATTGTGGTCCTCTTTTGATCCCTTTGAGACTGAATCCTCCATATAGCTATTTGCCAATGGCCTATCATTGCCTAATACAAAGAACTACTCATTTGCCAGACTGCCGCCCCAACATACAATATGTTCTGTCGTTTCTATTAATCTTTCAATGCCCTATTAGGAGACACACTATAGCTTTGACTATCTTTCTGTCTTTGCTGATCTGACTTCTGTTATCTAGGTCTTCTGTCTTGTTCAATTTTTTTTTTCTCTTATTGTGATTGCAAACAAATCGTCGTTGGTAATGAAATTATGTATTTTTTGAATTTTTTTTTGATGTGTTGCAAAGTGATTTTAAAGGATAGCGAGTAGAAGAGTTTTTTGGTGAAGCTACAAAAGAATCAATCATTACTCTTGATATTTTACTAATAATATCTTTTAAAACTGTAACTTCTCCGTATTCTTCTTGCTAATCTGCCTTAGTGGCTTCTCCTGAAGCTAAATTATACAATTCTGAGTGGTTTTCAAGATCTCAAAACCTCCCAATATTCCACCCTGTACTTCATTCTTCTTCTTTTATTCCAATTCTTTTTATATAGAATCATTGAAACGTAGTAGTACAGAAATCTAATAATTTATCATCAAGCCATTGAAAATCTTATCTTCGCCATATTTTCTAAAATTCTGTCTGTTCTGTATACAATATTTTATGAATATCTTTCTGTAATTTCTTGTTTCCTTCTTCTTTTCTTAGTTTATAATTCCACTCTTTTGGTCTTCATGTAAATCATTCTTATTTCTTTTCTCCCAACATCTCTTCTGTATCATCATCAACATCTGTGTCATAAATTTGAAGGTATATTCTCTCTCTTCTTGCATATTTCTTCATTTACGTCTGTGTTTTGTTGTCTTGCTGTTTGATACAATTTTGTTCAAGCTTGTCTTCTTTCTTCTTAAATTGTAGTCATATCTTAGATTAGGATAACTTTTTAGCCTGTTTACATATTTTCGGTACCACTATGTATTTTTTTGCTGTATGTATTTTTTTGCATATTTGGTCAGTACTTGTTCTGTAGACCTTGCTTGTTGCCAGTGTCTGTATAATCCACTCCAGCCTATTTTAGTCCTTCTTGGATGTTCTAGACAACCATCACTCTACGGATTTGTTCGCTATCTAGAGTTTCCTGACGAATTCCTAGAATTTAAAGGTAATATGATGCCGCAAGAATATCCTGCAATGCAATAAATGGCAAATTTATTTAATCTATTCAAAATTTTAGTATAACCTGGACATCTGGACTATATAGATCATATAGACCATATAATCGTAGTCTTATAGAACATCAAAGAACTCATCTTTACAGGATTATGTTTATTATAGAGAACACCACACAATCATAATGTTATGCCATCAAAGTCTTGCCATATTCTTCCAGTCATATTCAAGTCAGTATCCAATTCTATACTTAGGTCTTTCTGTACTTCATCATTCTCCTTTTTCTGCCATCTCATCTTCTATATAGAATCAATATAATGTAGTTAATAATAAATTTACCAATTTGTCTTTAAGGAAATGTAAATCTTCTTAATATTTCAAAAAGATTTGTCTATACATTTTCTTTTACAAATTTCCGTATTCTACTTTACACATTCTATATATTTTTTACTTGTATTTCTATATTTCATAGATATTCTTCCTGCAGTTTCTTTATTGCATCTATATTTCAATGTCCTGAACTCTTTATAGAGGTTATAACTATATACCGTATGATCGAAAAAAAACGGCGTCTAGTTGGCTGGGAAATGAACATCAATGACATTTCCCATATAAATTTACATTTAAAATGACAGCGATCTTCATTCCATAGCCATCGCTGACGCCGTTTTTTCTGGATCATACGGTAGTACATAGCTGGTATTGGTTCAAACTGTTATCATATAAAGATATCATTTAAATGGAGTAAATGGTAGAATTTCAAGAAATTTTTAACCAAAACTGTAGAAAGTTACTTATTCTTTTTGTTGCTCTGTATTCTTTAGATAGAGTTTGTATCTAAACTTCCCAAATTTTTCTTTATTTTATCTAATAGTTTCTCTTAAAAACAACTTTTTTTTATAGTCTTTTAAGTGTTACAAATAGAACAATAGCTTTTGCTCACTAAATCATCAGAAGTATGAGAATTACTAAACTTTTTCAGTTTACTAATATGAACTTCTTTGAAGCTGAATATTGTTTGTTGCACAAAAGTATTTTATTATTCTCTATCAAATTCATACAAGATCTTTTTCAACATATTTTAGTGACACCACAACGGAGTTTTCAAAGGCTCATCCGTCCAAACGCTCACCTAATCTAACGTCGCTTAACTTCAGCGATAGCCGGGTTCTTTTAACGTACCTAGGTCGTTGTTCTAGATACTTTAAAGGTCCGTAAAGGTTGTTTGTTTCCGAAATAAACTGTTAAATGCCCTTTGAAAAGCTTCGATGTTCCATCTACCTGCATTGGCGATACGGTCGTTTGGATATAATTAATTTAATTGACTAATTAGCGCACTAATTGCTTAATTTGACGCAGGCCGTCGTTAAAAGTTACGAAATATAATTTCTAGGTGAATTTACTACCAACTTGGAAAAAAATATGTTTACATACTCACCATTATTTCGAGTAATTTTTGTTTTTAAAATTTAAAAAAAAGTTTTTTTAATAATAATATAGTATTATAGTATACAACAATTATTATATTTCTTCTGTTACAGTTTTTATTAATTCATGTATATTAATTTTAAACTATTCTTAGTAGTATATTTTATTTTCATCATTATTTTCAACTTCCTCACATATTTAGATAGTCTCTTTGTAGATAGGCTCATTGTTATCTATTGCTGGCTATCGGCGGGCCCAAGTTATCCCTGCTAATGTCATGGTTCCATCTCAGGTTCGGTCTTCAGATCTATTTGTGGTCTTTTTCTGATCCTTAAGTTACATTCTTCATAGTCTAGGCCCTTGGAGACTGAACCCTCCATATAGCTCTATGTGAATGACATATCATTGCATAGTACAAAGAACTGTCAATCCTATAACCCTCAGATGCATGTTAACCTTACAAAATGCCCTATATACTATTATTATTAATACCATTATAGACCCAAACTACAACTTCGACTGTCTTCCTATCTTTGCTTATCAGGTCTAAGAACTTTTTTGCCTGTATATTTTGTAAATAATATGAGTTTTATTTACAAAAACAGTATAATAATTTTAAAATACCATATGATCGAGAAAAAAACCGGCTTGGAAATGACGATCGATGATGGTTCTCGTATGATTTTACATATAAAAAGACAACGATCTTTATTTCATATCTATCGTTGACGCCGTTTTTTTTCGATTATGTTCTACTTAAAAGTTAAAAAAAAATAAAAAACTTCAAAATACGTGGTATTCAGCACAATTTGTGGTGGTGTGATACACTTTTATTAATTAAAAAAAGCCCAAAACACACTTTACTAGCATATACATATTATACGTGTTATTGATTTGAATTAAAAATGCTTCTTAGTATGTTTTGTTGACTAAAACTGTTTTGATCTTTCCTTGTGCATCAAGCCTTAGTGTATATAACAAATATAAATCAACTTTAATGTATAGAATTTTCAGCCATCGTTCAACGTCACGTTATATATTGTCGAACTCTCTCAATCGTTTGACAACCAGATGAAAGACATTGGTGACGTCATTACAGAATTTCATAAATCACCGCATATTCTTTTTAGTAATTGTCATTTTCATTTGATTCGGGGTTATAATTTTATTGACGGATATCGATCAATGTCAAAATTAAAATATGATTATCGCTGTAAAACAAAATTCCAAATTTTTTACTGTAAAAATGCCTCAAAGATTTAACCAAAACGAACAAGAGCTCATTGCTGCAAGCTTATAAATTATTTTTCTCG